AATATTGACTAGACTATGCAAAGGATTGGTTATTTATAACACCTTCATTTCCCTCAGTCCTACCTCCTGACAAGTAAACAGACTGCTTCGCTCTGGAGAGTTGTGCAACACAGAGAGATCCTGAAGTAAACACACAGACTCCATACTTCATTAGAGGTGAACTTGTTTACAGAGCAGGAATTAAAACAAAACCACAGAATCCGTCAATATTCTATATGTACTGACATAGCCCTCCCTGACTCAGAGTGTTCTGCTCCTACACTGTGACTCATCCACTGCGTGGGCTGGGGACAGCAGAGATCTCGGTTTCCTGGGATTCTCCAGCGTATCAGACTCCTCTTCTGCTTCCCACCACGGCACCGTGGAGGCTTGTGACGTCCCACATCCACTTGCCAGTGTTACCTGCCCATGCTGGGAATGACCAGTGGCTCCAGAGCCACGGCACAGAACCCAGTGCAGGTGCCACGTGTCTGAATGAATCACATGTGCCAAGGTGGGCCTGTCAGGGGTGGGGGAAGGTGTGACTCATCTGCCAGCTGATATAAAAATAAACTACTACTGAATCAAAAATGCATGACTTCTGCACACGATGTGCACAGGCAGAAGCTGTCACTATGTGGAAACTCGAGCATCAGCTCCATGCAGCCAGAAGAAACCCAGAAGCACACAGTGCTCCATTTTACCTTCCAGAGGTGATGCTTACAGGGAAGGCATTCCATACAGCCTCAACAGGGAGAGATGCCAGAGGTGCTTTGAAATGTGCTAATAAATCCCAGAACAGTTTGGGATGGAAGGCACCTTGAAGTCCATCTCATTTTACCCCCTCAGTGGCAGGGACACCTTCCACTATCCCAGGTTGCTCCAAGCCACATCTAACCTGACCTTGGATACTTCCAGGGATGGAGCAACCTTTTCCAGGGCCTCACCACCCTCACTGCCAAAAATTCCTTCCCAATATCCCATCTAACCCTGCCCTCTGGCAGTGGGAAACTGTTTCTCCTTGTCCTGTCCCTCCAGGCCCTTGTTTGAAGTCCCTCTCCAGCTCTTCTGGAGCCCCTTCAGGCCCTGGCAGGGGCTCTGAGCTCTCCCTGGAGCCTTCTCTTCTCTCCCAGCCTGGCTCCAGAGCAGAGGGACCCCAACCCCTGAAACATTTTTTGTGCCCTCCTCTGGACTTGCTCCAGCAGCTTCTGAAAAGAAGATTAGATTCTTCTAATCTGGAACCAGCTTCAAAACAAAAAGACCATTTCTGTTGTTCACAGGCAGACAGAGCCCACAGGACACAGCCAGTGGAATCACTGAGACCATGGTGTGCCACCAGCAGGACCCAGCTGCTGCAGGACTCCTGCAAGCCATGGGAAAAGCAGTTGCTTTTACTCATCCCAAACCAAGCAGGAGGGTCCTGGGAGGCTGCTGGCCAAAGCTTTGTCCTTTGGTAACTGCCCAGGAAGTTGAACCATTCCAGGAGCTGAGTCTGTTTGACCATGGACAAATAACTCAGTTTATTCCACAAACTTCAAGTACAGAGGACAAAAGACATGCTCAAATGATTTATCCAGTACCAGAAACATGTTGGAGACTTGAATGATCCTGACTCCAGTCAGGATGCTGGAACAATGTGGCTTTTAGGACAAAAACCAATCATTAAACAGTTCAGTACAACACTGGCACTAGAGGACTGATGAGAGCAATTCAACTAGTTTGCACAGAGATGATTAAAACTACTTCAATTACCATGGTGAGCAAATGGATCATAGCCCAGACTACCTAAAACCTAAATGAATTACATTTGCTAAAGGAAAGATGTCCTTTCCTGAGACACCCTATGGATTGACCATCAGGTCTCTGACTCCGTGCCCATGCTTTGCTGTTTTGTTTTGCTGCTCACATGAAGGTAAAGTGCTCAGACACTATTTTAGGTTATTAGATATTTAATTCCACAGTGAGAAGGAAGAAGCTAGCAGATGGTCACTGTGCAGCAGGGCCTTGCTCGACTTCTGCGGGGAGAAATGTTCAAAGAAGAATCATGAAAATCCTTTTCTATGTGCAAACATTCCTCCAGTTAGAGGAAGGGAATTACAGGGGATCTGTTAGCTTCCCTAAAACAGCAGAGACAGCATCAAATACCCAAAGCAGCACATCAGAGACATCTGTTAGTTGGTTACTCCTGACTCAGGACTTTCTCTGAATCCATTGGATCCATCCACCACTACTGAGCAGTTCTGAGAAGCACCAAGAGGAGCCACATCCCTACAGTTTAGATCCCTTTGACAAACTTCTCCCTGCTCCATCACTTAACCCAGTGTGAAGCATCTTAAGATGTCTGAGACACATAAAATCCAGTCTGCTCCTTTGCTAATCCAAGCTGACTAGGGATCCTCATCCAAGCCACGTGGCAGGCAGAGAACTGGCGCTGCTGGGAGGGAACAGATGCAACTTCAGTGCCCTGTCAGAAAGTCTTGGAACATGGAAGCTCATGGAGCACGTGGCACAGGTGCCACAGAGTCACTGCTAAGGAAGAGGCAGTTATCACATCCTCTGTTCATGTGGAAACATCTCACATGGAAGCTCATCTCAGGATTTAGCTTCTGAATTACTGAGCTATTTGCTACTCTGTCCAACTGCACCAAGGAAAATGCAAAACTTGACTGAATAGCTTAGAAAAAGGGGAAAAAAAGACTATTTTCACTAGTTTTTGATGATGTCAAGTGAAGCAGGTTATTGATACCCACATATATCCCTTCAGGCACTGGCCAAGTAGGTCAGTCCCTTCCAGCCTAAGTTTTCCTCTGACTACTACCCAAGAGTAACACATTTAAAAATGTTTATTCTGAATATCCAACAGGAAATCATAAAAACTCTTTTGATTAGGAAAAAATCCCCCATTTTTCTCCCAAAGCTGCAGGTGATGACAATTCTGGTATCTCAGAGCTCACTGGGACCATCTGGCTGCACACACAGTTGAACGCTGAGGCGCTGAGGGGACGAGGTGGCTCCCGTGGTGTCACAACCAGGCTCCCTCTGCTCTCCCACCTTCAGCTGATGGTGGGAGCTGCAGCATACACGTCACTTGGCAGGATTAATTGGCTAATTTATTGAGCAGAATGTCACATGCAACGCTACTGTTGCTTTCTCTGAGTCATGCACACCATGTGTTCGGACACTTCTAGTCTTCGTTTGGCAAGTGTAGGACAATTCCAAGTAACCAGACATCCCTATTGAAAGTTCAAGCCTGGCTGTTTGAGCAGCTCCATGGCAATGACCGTGATGGGGAGCCTGGCACTAGCAATGTCACTGAGAACAAACTCTTCTACTACCCCAATGCTGGCACTTATTTATCTGTTTTTCCAGCCAGACACTCCTCTCAAGTCAAGCCTCCCTGCTCCTGGCAGCTTGACTCCACCAAAATTTGTTTTGCTTGGATTCCAGGTTTCATGGTGAGACCAGAATTGTAGTTCACATCCTCCACTCAAGACTTGGCCAATTTCCAATAGTTTTAGCAAAACTGTAGCACAAGAGCTTCTAAAGACATCCAACAACACAGCAGAGCAACACCCGTGGGACCACAGAGAGAGAAACAGAGTCAGGTTGCTCAGGAGCCTTCCCACCAGTCCCTTGACAAATGCTCCAAGACAGCAAATTCAAGACTAGGAAGGAATTCCTCCCCATGAGGGTGGTGAGGCCCTGGTGCAGGGTGCCCAGAGCAGCTGTGGCTGCCCCATCCCTGGAAAGATCCAAGGCCAGGCTGGAAGGGGCTTGGAGCTACCTGGGATAGTGGGAGGTGTCCCTGCCCATGGCAGGGGGGGAAATGAGATGGGCTTTAAGGTCCCTTCCAACCCAAACCATTCCATGAATGCTCTGAGTGGGTAAGTATTACAGGATGGAAAGCTTAAATTCTTTAGGAACAGGGGAAAACCTAAAAATACTTAATCTGACCCAAATAAAGCCATTCCTTCAAATTTTGATCAGTTTTATAATTCCGTAATAACATCTTTAAAGAGTGGAAGGAAGCCAAGTGGTGTAGAAAAAGCAGACTGGGATTCACTCATGTGTCACAAGACGTGTGGGCTGGGGTATCCCAGAAATCACAAGCACCAACTGAACTCCAGCAGGAAGTTTAACTTAGTATTTTGGTACTATATTATTACCAAAGTATTTCTGGATGTCCATCAGACCTCCTCTGCAAGTGGAAGCTGGGTCCATTCAGGGAAAACAGGAAAAATAAAATCAAAATTATAAAAAAACTACAGTACTGTAAGAAACTTGTCAAAACCTGAAGTCAATATATGATCAAGGCACAGAAGGAGCAGAGAAGGTTGTTGCTTCACAGAGACTTCCTTGAGCAGTAGAACACCCTGCACGAGGCTGTGGAAATCCTTGGCATAGGAAACAGCACATGCTAAAGGCTCTTCAGACATAAAAAACAACCATAAATTCAGGGAAGAAAAATCCAAACACTATTAGACGCAACTGAAGCTCTGTATCAGGGAAATCAGAGACTGCCAGAAAAAATGTATAAAAAATTCCACCTTTGGCTGACCCTGCTCTATTTTTCTCCTATTTGCTGTAGACCATGATTGCACAGAGGAACCATGGGGCTTGTGGACATTCTTATGATTTAACAAGTAAAAATGAAAACCATTTCCTAGGTTTAAAGACTTTAGATCACCAGCTTAAGGGGTGTTGTTCTATACACAAATAACTCCCCATCCATTGACAATTCCTATGTTTTGCAAACACACTTATAGGGGTATTTCCATATCAGCAAATCCACACAAACTCGACATTTTAGGTCCACACAATTACACAATATCATCATTATGGTCCAATTCTCACCAAATCGCTTCCAAAACTTGTGTGAGGCTAAAAGGAATTGGCCCAGATCCCTAAGTTCAAGTCAGAGTTACACAACAAATACTATGGTGGTGTTTGATTTAAAAAAAAACCTCTTTATTAAAGAAATTTAATAAAACTTTTGATAAGCTTAAGATAGGTTTACTCACCTGCACTTCCAAGTTGTTTATAAAACCTGTATTCTAAATGAAGCTGTGGTGCCCGGGATTTAATTGGTTCCTAGAACAGAAATAAATAAATTGGTTAAAATCAGTTTGACTAAAAGAAGTTCTGTCCTCTACCTGAAGATTTGTGCATAATTAAAACACCCCAAATTGAAATTCTAACAACAGACTTCACCATTAAATGTCATTTAAATAAGAAAAGAACAAAAACCAGTAAGATTTGCTCTCTGGAGGAGAAATAACATTCTCATTTAAATACAAAGCTCATTCATTGCAGTGAAATTCAAGGATCCTTATAGAGCTCCTGGTCCTTGAAGAACAACCCTGGACACTGGCAGAGGGAAGTCAAGGTTGCAAAAGCTCAAGCCCCAGCTCACTCTGTGGGCACTGTGACTGCTCACAGCACTTTTGCTGGTCTCCAGCCTGTATTTCTGAAAAACGTTGAGTCACACGAGTGTGTTTTACATCAGACCACAGCTGCTCAGAGCAAGCACCACAGTGCAGCCAGACAGTTGGGAAAAAGGAAGAAGTCTCCCCCTCCTTGTGGCAGCTGTCAGTCAAACATCTTGAAACACTCAATAATATTCTATTTTTATCCACAAAATGCAAAATAATAAAATTGTAAGTCTGCAATGCACCCAAACCATCCCGTTCATTAACTGTTACTCATCTGCATTTTACATACAAGACTTAATGCCTACAATCCATTAAGGCATTAACGTGCAAGATTACAGAGGTTCTAAAAATATAAAGTTAATATGGAGAGGATTAAGAGACTGGAGTAATTACATCTGCAATAAAACTGTGCACTTGGGATAGGCATGGATGTGGGTTTACCAACTGCCCAGGCAGACTGGAGATAGGAGTTAATACTGGCCTCAATTTTTGTTGACCTCTTGCCTGCACTGTAAGACTGATGTTCACACTGGCTGTGAACTCCATAGTCAAGGCTTCTTTCTAAGTGTGGAGAAGGAATTCTGTACAGGAATTCAGGCAATATGACTTGTAGCCAAGCTGTTCCTCATCAGCTCAAGTCATCCCATCCATTTCCCAGGAAGGGGAATGAATGCTCCTGGTTACTTCTCAGCCTAATCACAGAATCATTGAGGTGGGAAAAGGCCTCCAAGGTCACCAAATTCATGATGTTTTAAAGCTAAAATGACCAAATACTCATCAAACAATGTGAAAAAAATATTCTGGAGGAAAAACTGAACCTGCACCGAAGGCAAACACAAAGCAACACACAAACAAGTTTGTTATACAAGTCACATTTAAATTAAGGTAATTGTTGGTGGCTTGAGGGTCTACAGACACCTGCAGAGCACAGGGATTCAGGGCAACAGGAACTTGGCATGTTTCAGGGTGTAGTTTATTTATCCAAACATGTAAAGGGGTAGGACTGATGCAGCAGGACATGATGCTGCTTGTGACAAAATCAGGAGGCAGCCCTGAGCTGCTTCTGCATCTGGAGCTGCTGGAGCCAGAGCTCTGGACACTTGCCAGAGTCGTGGCAGCTTCTGAGAAGATCATACCAGCACAGATGGTTGTCCTGTAGGCCAAGGGCTTAGGGATGATGGCAGATTTTGTGTTTGCAGTAAAAATAACTGAATTGCTACTGCCTAACAGAGAAAATCCACAGCTCGAACCAGTGGTGTCATCATTGCTGCGAGGGGATGGCCTGGTACTTGTGCTCTGACTGGATGGCACCAGGCTGGCTTCTCCCAGGGAAGAAATTCCTAATGTGGGCAGCGCAGCTTTGAAAACCCTCAGAAGAATAAACCAGATGCCCCATCCCAGGTAAGTCAGCTGAACAGCAGGACCAGAAGCCACATGGTGACACCACACCAATCAACACAAGGACCAATCTCCACTGCCAGCAGTTTTCCAAGGTGTAGCCTCAGTCCCACAAAGGAAACCATGAGGCATTAGCATGGAATTTCACAGCACTTTCTGATGGGCTCTTGGTATCCATCACACAATTCCTTAATTTCCCAGCTCTAACGTTGTGATAGGAGGCAGGAATAGCTGAGACAGCAGGGCTGCAGTGGCAGAAGAGGATCTCACAGCTTGAAGGACTTGGAACAGTGCTTTGACTTGGTCCAACAATGAAGATAAAAGAAAATGTTGCCTCTAAGTACATCTTACAGCTACTCCACCACTAATCCACAAATTATTTGAAGGACAAAGAAAACAGAAGTTAAGTCCACATGTAAGTGAAGTGTATTTGCTGCTGAGGAGGTGAGTCATTCTTATTCCTGTGGAATTTTGTCTAAGATTAGGAGACCAAGAAACCCCCATTTCTCCTACTGCTCCCTCCTTAAACTTCTCCAAAAGAGAGCATATATATGGACACCTGGATGGCCACTGCAAGAAGGACCTGAGATTTTGAAGCCTGGATCACAACAGGGCAAATGAAACTGGAGAGTGGTACAGTGTAACTGCTTTAACACTCTGTTATTTGGAGGAAAAAAAGTAGTAAGAAAAATGAAGAAAGAATGTGACCAGAAAAAACAGGTCAGATTGAGGCAGCCATGAGGCAATGCCACTGAGTCCTGCCATATGGAAAAGCTTCAGGTTACTGAGAGGTGTCACTGCAGCCACTCTTCTGAGATAAAAAAGCACCCTTTGGACTAGTACAGCTGTGTTTCAATTTATGGTTTCCAATGCAACAATTTTGTGGGATTATCTGTGGAAGCAAATTAGAAGCATTACTGCTTCAATAAAACACTTTCTTTGTGTACACAGCACATTTTCTATGGCCTAAAAGCAACAATTCTTCTTTCTGATGTTCATCTATATCAAGGGCATCTCCTGTGAAGCCAGGCTGGGAGAGCTGGGGGTGTTCACCTGGACAAGAGAAGGGTCCAGGGAGAGCTCAGAGCCCCTGCCAGGGCCTAAAGGGGCTCCAGGAGAGCTGGAGAGGGACAGAGACAAAGAGTCTGGAGTGCCACAAGGGGGAATGGCTTCCCACTGCCAGAGGGCAGGGTTAGATGGGATATTGGGAAGAAATCATCTTCTGTGAGGGTGGTGAGCCCTTGGCACAGGTTGCCCAGAGCAGCTGTGGCTGCCCCATCCCTGGAAGAGTCCAAAGCCAGGTTGGACGGGGCTTGGAGCAACCTGGGATAGTGGGAAGTGTCCTTGGTGTTCCACCATAGCAGAGGGTGGAATGAGATGAAGTTTAAGATCCCTTCCAGGATACCCAAACCCATCTGGGATACTATGTTCCTGCATTCCTCTGCAGGCATTTATTTATTTACTTTAGGGAACATCTTCTCACATTTGCCAACAGGCGTGAGAACAAGTCCCTCCTGCAAAGCTGTAATTATTTTTCATCTACTAGACAGCATTATGGGAATGCCAGAGATATGGGATCTGAGGCACTCAAACGTGATCACAATTAATGCACCAAGTCCAACCTGATTTCCAGTCACCAGAGTGGTTCATTCTGTCATTCTGCCAGATAGCATCAACTGGGCAAACTGGGGGGATTGCTGCAGTGTCACACCACAACTTTAACTTCAGATTTTAGGGCTTGGATTATGTTTAAAGAATGTTCTCATGAGAATTCAGCATATCAGGTGAAGACATGGAATCTGAAACACCAAGGGACTAATTTACAGATAGGAAAAGTTAAGGCCTAAACACAAACTACTAGGCTGTGAGTTTATAAATGCAGAAGAGCTACAAGTTAGGGAGTTCCCCATTCCACAGAGGATGAGACTGTATCTTCTCTGCCACCCAAGGCAGCCAGAGGAAGGACTGGCCTTCACCAAATTGGATCTTGTTGTGCCTGTTGCACCTGCAGTCTCTCAGTATCACACCAGACCCAACTGTACTCTGCTCCTCCAGGAAATTTTAACCAAAGGAACACCCTCTTTCCTGCCTCTTGACTCTAAAAACATGGTCCACCAGGCTGCACAGTGCCATGCTCCTAACCAAACATTCTGACAGCTGGAGAATTCATGGAGTCCTGAACGGAAAGGTTTGAGCCATGGAGCAGCAGGAGGTGCAAACCCACTACCAGTGCCCTTCACTGGGACTTGGGCAGAGGAACAAGGCTCTCACTGCTCTAAGACAGATACAGATCCTTTAGGATCCAAAAACCTTCAGCAGGTGGAAGGATGGTTTTTCTCCCTGCTTTTAGTGCTTTAAAGAATTTAGCTTAGTTTTAACAAGTCATTACGAGCTGAGGGTAGGAGCAGCACTGAGCCCAAACTGAAAAACTTGCTTTTGGTTTGAATTTTTAAGATGAAGTACAAGACACTTGAAGCTACTACTTACCAGTTTGATCGCTACATATTCATTGGTGTAGAGATTTTTACCTGCAAAGGGAGAAGGAAAAAAAATCTTTTAGTTTCACATTCAACACTTGCAGCTCGAGGCACAATGAGAAATAATGACACTGATGCCAAAGGGCTGTTTCCCCAATTCCCCCGAAGATCCTGCTTTTAACAAAGCATAAGCCTGAAAATAATCAAAATAATGAACAGTTTGCAGCAGTTTAGCAGGGCAGGCAAATAACACTTTCCACTCAGCACAAGGCAATTGTATTTTATGCAGCACTTTTGCTCCATGCACGTGTTAAAGGAGGTATCCCAGACAAACTAGGCTTCATTATCCACAATGCCAAAAAAGTCTGGAGAACAAAAAAATGAAGAGTCAGAATGTCATTGCTTTTGGAATTGTCTTGGATCTGCTGGACACTGAACAATTTCATCCTGGGATGTGCAGGGAGTTTCACCAGGTTGATCATGCCCTGGGAAGCAGGAAGGGCAGGAGCGTGACATGAGCACAACAAGCCAAGCTCAAATCCAGGTGCACTGAACCAGAGCTCAGACCCATGTGTGCTACAGCTGGAGGGGAATTTTCCTCCAGGAGCCTGTCTGGTGTTTGAAGCAAGCCCTGGGCCTCCTCAGTGATCTGAGGCAGTGATGCACAGCTCCATGTCACAGAGCATCTCTCCCTGTGTTCTGACACTGCCACTTATCGTATCACTCAACGTCCTCTGCTTCCCCTGCCAGGGAATTTGAGCAATCACCCCCCCTCCACCTGGCTCATGCCTGACAGCAAACTCTCCTGGAAGAGATATCACAGGGAACGATGCTTGGGCAGTCCCTGGACCCCTCTGTCCCTGTCCCACCGTCCCCTTGGAGGAAGGAAGCCCCCACCACAAAAGCTCCCTGTGGATTTATTTAAGGAAACGTCGATCTTTGTCATCAGTGTCAAAGCTTTTACTGAGCAACTCCAAAATTCAGGAGCAATCCAGGATGGAAGTTATCAGGGCTTATTTGTAGCATCAGCTTTGCTCAGCTCTCTTACTCATTTATTTTCTAATTCCTGTAATGGATATTGATGCTTGGACAGCCCAGCTCTTGAGAAAGCCCAGGACATGGAGTGACATCATTCAGAGCAGGCAGGAGCTGGAGTAGCTCTTCCATATCCACATGACAGCATGAAAAAACCTTCCATGTCCTCCTCAGCACAGGATACAACAGCACAGGGAGACTCAATAAAATTAAAGACATTATGAACATGGGAGAAGACACACAGTCATCTTTAAATCCTGACGTATCAGGGGAAATTTAGTTTACAACAGTTTCATGTTTTCTGCATTTAACTTCTTTTGATGCTTTCCCTGCTCTATCACTCAGGGTACTTCTGGCCTCTAAATCTGTGACTGGGTGTTCCCAGGCCCAGTCTGCACCAAGCAGATTTTTTAACATCCCTCAGTAATAGAAGACATCATAGCTCCAACCTGTTTGGGTACCTGGTGATGCACAGGACAGGGATTTAAATGTGAGGTTAAATATCCTCAGAGGAGGTGTTTTCTGCCAGCAGAGCTGAAAGCTGAGCCCCAGTATAAACCCCTGACACACAGGGTGGGTTTCCATGTATTTCTTTCCATCTTTTAGAAAAAGACATAATATTATGCCCAGATTGGAAACTAAGAGTAGAAAGGAGATTTTGCAGTTTCATCAGGAACCTGCCAACACCAGAAAGCATTGAAAGAGCTCACAGGCCAAATCCACAGAAAAGCAGGTGGCAGATAAACCCCTCCATCCTCTGAGACAGACCAGGGCTCCAGCTGGGGGGAGAAGACGTGAGGACATTAAGGGAAGGAAATATAAATACACTTGGATTATTTGCTCTGCATTACCAGCAAATAAGCCCCATTGGCAGCTCCAGCTTTATCTCACTCCCTGAAACTGCCTCTTCCCCTCCTCGAATTGAAATGCCAGAATGGTTTGGGTTGGAAGGGCCCTTAAAGCCCATCTCATTCCACCTCTGCCATGGGCAGGGACAACTCCCACTAGCCCAGGTTGCTCCAAGCCCTGACCAGCCTGGCCTTGCACACTTTCAGGTGTCCAGAGGCAGACACAGCTGTTCTGAGCAACCTGTGCCAGAGGCTCATCACCCTCAGAAGAAAGTATTTGTTCCCAATATTCCATTCTGGCAGTGGGAAGCCACTCCCCCTTACTGTGGCACGCCAGGCCCTTGTCCCCAGTCCCTTTCCAGCTCTCCTGGAGCCCCTTCAGGCACTGGAAGGGGCCCCAAAATCTCTCTGGATTCCTCTCTTGTCCAGGTGAGCAGCCCCAGCTCTCCCAGCCTGGCTCCAGAGCAGAGGGGCTGCACCCTCAGAGCATCTCCGTGGCCTCCTCTGGACTTGTTCCAGCAGCTCCACGTCCCTCTGCTGTTGGGCGCCCCAGAGCTATAGACTGGAACTTAGATCTTTTTGCTCTAATTGAAACATTATCTGGTGTTTTCAAAACAGTGTTCAGGTATAATTTTAAAATGGTGGTTAACAGTTTTTCACCCTGCTTGAAACTGGAAAAAATGTTAGAAGAGCAGCAGGCCCCAAACCAGCAGAAATGCTGCTTCTTTGTAGGTTGCCAGGTTAGAGCAGTTCCAGTGGAACTGGGAAGGTGCTCCCAAAAGTGAGAATCACCCAGCTGCCTATCAGGCTGCAGTATGAAGCCAGGAAATCTGCTTCAAAACAAATAAACCAGCAAAATAAATACTTAAATATGATAATAGCATCTGATACCGGGGCTGTAATTCCAAAATAACAAGTCATGATTTGACTGGAATAATGTCAGATGTGGAGGGCAGAGCAGTAGGTCCTGGGAAGCACCTACACCAGGAATTGCTAGTTTCAGACCTGCTGTAGAAGGGACAGCAAATCAGGCATGGCCCAAGTACCCAATGATCTGGTGCCTGTGCAGATGCATCACTTTGGAGATGGATCATTTTGGGCTTCTCTGCTGTCTCAAATCCATCCATACATTCACCACATCCCACTGCCAAGGCCTTGAGAAATCCTCTTGGGGAAGTTTCCCACATGAATGCTGGTGATGTAATGCATCCCTTCTCCTTTGGAATACGTAGTCCATAATTGTCAGTGGAACTACCCAAAACTGAGACATGGACTTACTGCTCCATAAAAAGCCTTGCCTCAACTTGAAAGGCTTTTGCCAGCACAGTTACATCTCCTCACTGTGCTACAGATCTTTGGTTGTGCTAAGGGAAGGTGCAGCTCCTGCTCAGGGTTTGTTTCAGTGGGCAGGTCTCTGTCTCCTGTGAGCCTTTGCTCCTCTGTGCAACCTGGGAGGAGGAAGGAGAGTAAACCATTGCAGCTTGGACAGAGTGACAGCAAAACCAAGGGGGAGATCTCTGTCTGGAGCAAGCCAGCAGAGAGATTTTGGGGATCTACCCAAAGCTTGGATGCTGTGGCTGATCACAGCACTCTATACAATGGATCAAACCCCCATGAACCCTCAAATCCATGCAGGACATGGGGACTGGCACTATATTCCTGCTAGTACACTGAGCCACTTTGGAAACCAAAGCTCTTTAAGACTCTCTACCCTGCAGCCTGTCTGAAGAAACAGCCACTGCTTTACCCCATTTCAGTGTTTTATTTGGGCCAGATCACACAATCATTAATTTTGTAAAAGACATCCAGGATCATCAAGGCCAACATTTGAACAAGTCCCACCATTCTCGGTAAACCACATTGTGCAGTGGTACATCTCCTCCTTTTCTGAACACTTCCAGGGATGGTGACTTCAATGCTTCCCTGAGAAGAATGTTCCAATGCTCATACACGCTTTCAGTGAGGATTTTTTTCTAATATCCAGCCTCACCCTCCCTGGTACGACTTGTGGCCATTTCCCCTGTCCTATCAAATGCTAAGTTTCATGTTCAGCTTTACATCTATCCTTGGCTGATCTGTATTTTCAGGAAGAAAAATCAACCCTGAGCAGTGAGCTGGATAGATACAGCAAACAGCTTCATCTCCTTTTTGAAGAATCAAACAAGAACAGCTTAAACTGAAAATACAACACCTCGAAAAAGAGAAATTCTTCAGGGAATTGGAAAAGCCTATTTTCCCTTTGCTTATCAGTGTGTGACTTTGTTCTGCCTGTGATATTGGTACTTAACTGCTCTGAAACCATGTAAAAAATAGGCAAAAAGCAGAGGGCACATCATTCATCTTTGCAGGACAAAACTGTTATCAGAGACTTGTGTGCTCGGATTTCAGCTGCTGCTTCTCCTTCCCCCCAGCGATAATTACCATGGGCTGTGCAAGAGAAATAGCTGCTATTTGAGCAAACACGAACTCTTAAAGTGATAGTGGCTGGAAAAAAAAGCAAGAGAAATGAAAAAAAGAGAGAAATACAGCTTCTGTAAGAACCTGACAACAAATTGTTATCAGTACATGTGGCTCATTGCCTAAATTTTTAGTAAACTAGAATTAACAATACATGTATTATTTAAAAAAAGGAAACAATTAACAGGTGTTGCAATTTAAAACTGAATTTCTCTGTAAACTGACTTTTTCAGAAGTGAAATCTCTTCTGTGTAGTCCATGAAACTTTACATGAGTCACAAACTCAATATCACTAAAATTTTGAGAAATGTGAAAAAGAATCCTGGAAACAGGAGCTGCTTCCCTGCAGTGTGGGCAGCAGGAAAAGGGGGACTCTGCCCCTCTGCCCCACTCAGGTGAGACCCCACCTGCAGAGCTGCCTCCAGCTCAGGGTCCAACAGCAGCAGAAAGACCTGGAGCTGCTGGGGAGAGTCCAGAGGAGGCCACGGAGATGCTCCAAGGACTGGAGCCCCTCTGCTCTGGAGCCAGGCTGGGAGAGCTGGGGGTGTTCCCCTGGAGAAGGCTCCAGGGAGATTCTGGGGCCCCCTCCAGTGTCTAAAGGGGCTCCAGGAGAGCTGGAGAGGGACTGGGGACAAGGGCCTGGAGGGACAGGACAGGCAGGGGCAATGTCTTCCCACTGCCAGAGGGCAGGGTTAGATGGGAAATTGGGAAGAAATTCCTCCCTGTTAGGGTAGGGAGAGCAGCTGTGGTTACCTCTGGATCCCTGGAAGTATCTAAGGTCAGGCTGGTCGGGGCTTGGAGCAACCTGGGCTAGTGGGAGGTGTCCCTGACCATGGCAGAGGTGGAATGGGATAAGTTTTAAGGTGCCTTTCAACCCAAACTAGTCTGTGATTCTGTGAATTGGGCACCAGCTGAATAAACTCAAGAGCCATATATCCAGAGGGATCCACTACAGCTGCTAAACCTCAGAGCAGAGCTTGGATTACAAAGCAATTCAACATCTCCCTGGGGATCGTGACGTTTGCTGGGGGGGCATTGAGAATCCAACAGAGCAATTAATGTTATGTCACAGTAAGGATCCAAATTTATCCCTAGCTGCCAATTATACTCATGTGCAGGAAGGTGGGAGTTTCCACCCTTGCCCTTGGTTTCTCTCCACCTTAGGAGTGTTATCTCTAGTCAGATGAATCAATAAAACTTCTCTGATGCAATGCAGAAACCAAAATACCCATTTACTGAGACACACCAGAAGTGAGCTGGTTGATCTTCACACCATGGAACAGCAGCACATGTATTGATGCAATAACCCAGCCTCAGAGTGGGAAATCACACAGATTCATTTAAGAGCACAGATTCTGAGCAGGAATCTACAAAGACACTATCAGTAGTGTTATGACCCTTGAGTTATTGAAGCAACACCAGCTGCTTCACCCATCTCATTTAAAACACAACCATTGTTTTTTTAGGATGACTTAAGAGCCCAGTGCAGTGCTCTGCATTGGTCTCTGAAGTAGTCCTAAACAAACAATGCATCAGTGGAACCATCTGTTTTGGGCAACCAGCTGCAAGATGTGGTTAGGAAACCAACAGACCATGAACAAATGCCAGGCTGGCTGAGGGAGCCAGATGGCCACTTGGCACATCCTGCTCCTCGCCAGCAAGTCCAACACATAGACAGAGCACGGAGAGAGTGATGGGACTGAAATTAGGGCAGTGAGGTTAGAGAAGGACATGGAATTGAGATTGAGTGCTGAGAAAGAGTCTCACCCATCCCTTTAAATGGGTGTTCTAGTTTATGAACAAAAAATTGAGAGCAAGATTTAACAATTCACAGTTAAGATTTTTTTTTCACCTTAGGCAAGACATTCAGTGCTGTGAACAGTCGTCATTTGTTGGGATTGTTCAAAATTTGCATCTTTGGCCTCTCCAGTGTATTCCCTTTGACTTTATGCAAATCAAAATCATGCTAAGAGTTACATCTTCTGAGTCAGAAGCTTCGGATAAGGCAGCTCAACACTTGGGAAACAAAACAGCGCACGCATTTCCCGAGCCAAGGTAAGTTTTTATGTATTTATATTCCAGTGGTGAAATGCTAATTTGCATAATGCAGGCCCACTAAAATGCTTGCTTCTTACCTAGTCTGAGTTCTCCAAAGTTCCCACACCCAATCTTCTTGCCCACTCTGAAGTTGGGTCCCACCATAAGAACGCCAGAAGACGCCGACGAGCTTGGCCGAGAACCGTGCCCACTCCTTCCCGGCATTCCTTTTGTCGTCCGCTGCCTCTCATCCTTATCCCTATTAGGATGGTCCATGATCTTAGTGAAATACCTCTGCCAGCAAGCTGGCAGAAAGGTGTTGGAGTACACACTCTTCTCCTTAGAACAGAAATTTATATCCAAAAGTATCGGTGTTGGAGTTCAAGAGAGTCATGGAAACTCATGGAGTTCTTTTGGCACCAGATCCAGTTTTCTAATGCATCTTGATAATGTACCAAAGGGTCGACTGTGTTCTTGAGAATTCAATAGAGGCAGGTTGCTTTTGGTTTCTTACCTGGGGAAGAGAAGAGATACATGAAATAAAAATCATTATTTTAAAATACCAGGTGAGAAAGGTACAACAGGGCCAATGTCCAGAACTTTCCTGGTCTCATGGAATTTAACAGCTGTATGAAAACTTTATCATTTTCTTTACAATTTTCTGATAAAAAGCCTTGATGTAATGAAGAAATGTAAGTGCTGCCCATCCACTGTTGCTACTTGTCCCATTCTGGTTGGAAGGGACTTGGAGCAACCTGTCTAGTGGGAAGTGTCCCTCCCCGTGGCTGTGGGTGGATCCAGCTGAGCTTTAAGGTGCCTTCCAACCCAAACTAGTCTGTAATTCCATGATCCACTGGAGTTATCAGGACTGACACCACATGCAGTAACCAAAGCCACTCCAACTACACCAGCACATCAAGTGGACACTGTGAGGAAATCACATCCCACCTTTAAAGCCCCTGTGAAGTGTAGGTTTGGTTTTTTCCTCACTTCATACATTTATCAAGTACTACAGAAAAGCCAGACAAAAAATACAAAGGGCCCAATGAAAGGTGCCAAGAGAAGAAGAAAGTCTTGTAGCACTTTAATAAAATTCTCCTTTCTTTTATCTCTTTTCAAGTCTTGATGTAGATTATCTTAAATAATCTAAGTTAGAAGGGACCTACGAGGATCACTGAAGTCCAAACTGACCTCAGATATATTTGTTAATTCAAACTGCTGTCCTACAGAGATTACCAAAATGAAGAGCCAAAGCATGATTAATTATTTTTTAAAAGCTGATAACTCAGTCTAAAGGGGACAAAACATGGATGCTTCTCAACCCTTACAGGCCAAATGGTTCTTCTGTGCTCAGGAACAAGACCAAAGGAGACCGGCAGGAGCTGCAAGGACCCAGGAGGTCCTGCCCCACAAGGACAGTCCAGAGATACCAGCGTGGTAGTTGAGCTTCCCATCACTTCCCAAGAAATCAGCGTGATAAAGGGAAAGGTTGCAGGATGTCTTGTCTGCACAGATGCTGCATCAGGAGATGGTACTGGGCACTCTTGGGGTGCAGATCTCAAGCAAGAATTAGAATAAACACACCTAGAACCACCCCCCATATCCCAGGATATAAAAGTACCGGATTGTAGCCCTACAGGAGGACTGCTGCGTTCAGATTTTCCAGATGTGAATAGAACAGTTGCTGTATAATTTTACCAACAAGGTTTGTGTCCCACTTCTGATGCCTCCAAAGCAATCACACAAGTGCTCAGTGAGACCACCCAACCAAGAGTCCCACGGAAGGACACCCAGAAAAAAAAACATATAAATGAGGGCTCAGAAGTCACTTTACTCAGGCAGCTGGCTCAGTTCTCCTGCAACAATACTCGTCCAAAGCCAACCTGGCTTTGGACTCTTCCAGGGATGGGGCAGCTACAGCTGCTCTGGACAACCTGTGCCACAGACTCACCACCTTCACAGGGAAGAATTTCTCCCTAATATCCAACCCAAACACATCATTTCGGCTTAAAGTTTCCTTGTCCTATCACTTCTTGCTCTTATAACAAGTCTGTCCTCATCCTTCCTATATGTCCATCCCCTTCAGGTGCTGGAATTCTCCTTGTCACTTGGGACAGTTGTGGATCCCTGCAGAAAATGTCACACAGCATGTCTGCAGCATATCCAGGAGGTCTGGCAATCACCAGGTCACCCGAGAACCACCATGTCTCAGCCATACCACCAGTTTGGCCATAAACCAAAGTAGCAAGCTCTCAACATGCTCCCAAGCAATGTGTGAAACACCATTTGCACCTCTGGCCTAGACAAAAGAGCTGGAGATGTTCATGTACAAGAAATTATTTAGCATTACCAAGCCTTACTTGTGCCTCAAATTAATTCCAGATTTAATACTCAGAACTGAATATGGATAAGCAGGAAGCATCCGTTACCAGTGAACTGAACTGGCTGAACTGGTTTTCCATCACAGACATCCCCATGTTCTCTCAGCTGCCATGCTTGGCACAGACACAGCAGAGCTGTGTTTGCCCTGTGAAACCAGTCAGCAGGAGCAGTGAGGAGGCTCTATCAGATATCAGAAAATCACTTTGACTGGACTCCACCCCAGGCTGTCCTGGGAGGAGAGACTGGCTTCAAAACAAACAACATGAAAAAGAACCATCAGTGAAACTACAAAGTTTTACTGCTGAACTCCAACCAAACGTGAGAATGACTTCTAGTAGCAGGTGGATTTACTCACACAGGTCTTTCTGGTAAAGTTTCGGAAAAATAAAACTGAAGCATGGGAGGTTTTGGTCTATCTGTCTATCTGGTCTATCTCTGCTATGGCAAGAGAAGTAGACACAGAACATTCCAGTCAAATGTTTTATTTCCAGTTAAAGCTATCATCTTCCATGTAATACAACATATGGGTCTGGCACTTGGGGACGTGGCTTAGTGACGAGCTTGGCAGTGCTGGGAGAATGGCTCCCAGCACTGTGATCTCACACGGCTTTTCCCAGATAAATGATTCCATGATGCTGGAGTGTTCCTAGGGTTGGATCACTAAGAAAGATGAGCAGGATATAGGAATTCTGTGAGTAAAAAAATAGTAACACTTTAGAAAACAAACTCGAACCCGCCAAAGCCAGAGAAGAATTTTTTCCCCCTGGAGACCAAAGTCATTATTTCAATCAAGACTGAATAATTTATGACAGAGAACTACCTACAACCTCAAAAATGGAAACAGAAAGAAACCTCCAGCAAGAGCACAAACCCTGCCGAGTTTATACCCCGCTCAGCACATCTCAGATGGGACAAGCAACCCCATTATCCTCAGGCAAATTAAGCACAAATCCCACCACACATCTTCTGGCTCACAAAGGAAGATGTTAACGGTTATGAGCTCCTATGCCTCCGTCCTTCCCCCCTCCCCATCTGGATCAGGTCTCCCTGGGGAGGAGGATGGAAAGGTCATGCCTGACAGTCTGCAAACACTAACCATCCTCTCTCAGCTGAAAGCCTCCTGCAAACAGGAATTCAGAGCAGAAATAGGTAAGTGAACCACGCCTCTGACAAGCTCTTTATCACAGCCAAGCAGAGGAGCAGAGCCCAGCTGTCGGATCACTCCATCACACAAAGATCTTGCACCATCATTACCACCTACTAAAAGTATAAATATGGCACCAAATATGGCCTTTGAGGACCAGCAGAGCACTCGGCTTTGTAGGGAAGCGGCAGAAGAATGAAGACCAGGCTGTCAGTCACATTAATATTTAAAGACTACTCAGAACACCAGGATGACTTCCTGCCATGATTCAAACTTTTTTATAATGATTCCTTCCTACCTTTCCACCCACTCAGCAAGATTGCTCCTCAAAGTTACTTCCATTTGAACAGAGCTGCATGAAGATATTTCCCTAATGGTGAATCAGCCCAATTCCAAGGATTGATTTCACTACAATACAGTTGGAGACACAGGAACAGTTATTTAATGAAAGACACAGGCTTGAAAGGAAATTACTTGCAGCACAGTTAGCTAAGTAAAAAACAGCAGCACAGTATCCTACACGCTTCCAAACACTTGGACCCAAATCTTTGTCATGACCTCTCCTCCATCAATAAACCCGCAGCACTACAGCTAGAAACCAGCTTCCAGGTGGTATTAAATCACGGAATGGTTTGGGTTGGAAGGGACCTTACAGCCCATCTTGTCCCATTCCCTGCCATGGGCAGGCACACCTTCCATTAGACCAGGTTGCTCCAAGCCTGGTCCAACCTGGACTGGAACAATTCCAGGCAGGTCTGGAGGGCAGCTGCTGTTTGTGTTGATATCCACAATCCAGTGTAAAGGGGTGTTTAATGAATGGCACGAGACCTGCTCACAGCCACACAATTTTTCAGGGGAGCCCTTCAGATGTAGGAAAGGACATCACAAATGACAGGCTGGTGTAAAGAAGCCAAAGCCATTCTTGTCCCCCCCTCTCCCTTGTTTCCCAAAAGAAAAGCTCGCTTCCCTTGAACTCAAAACTTCCTTGACCTCCTTGAGTTACTCTGGAGACCCTTCCATGACAGGAACAAGTTTTCTCAAAGTCTTGATTTGTGGCACAATTTCAGAAATCTGTCCAAATTAAAAGAATCAATGAACATCTCCTTCTTCAAACTGAAGCAAGCAGGCGTGGTCCAGATCTCTGTGTGGTTTTGATCCCTGAAGGAGTCGCTACATGCCAGAAATAAAACTGAAAATGCCTGTGGATGAAGCAACACCCTGAAAAGCAGGAATTCAGCCCCATAATTCCTTTTAAAATCTTTTAAGAAAAGACATCCAAGAAAGCCCCATTTTCTGTTGGAATAGGTGAACTCACCCTGCTCTCTACAGACACAGGACCACAATTCCTCAAAGCAGCTCCAAGATCATTGCTTTAGGACAAGGCACATGCCTTCCCACTGGGTTTTCCAACATCCACCCCACGTGCCTGTGTAAATATGTCTGGTAAGTCTCCTGATGTGGAGAGCACTGTCCAGACAAGATCTGCTACTTCCCACATGACTTCAAAGACTAGAAAATCCTCCAGGGCTCTCAACTGACATGTTATAAACACACAGATATCAGCTCACCAGCTTCCACCCTCACACTGTGTAAAAAGTAGAGCCTTCAGCACCAGAAAACTTCACTGGCTTTGCCACAGACTGGGACAAAGCACTCACCCTCTGGAAAAGGGAGAGCAGCCAAGCTGCAGGTAAGGAGAAACATTTTGAAACTAGGACATACACAAGTGTTCACTCATGTTTTTAGCATCTACCAACTCTTTTTATGAGTTTGCACCCCTAAGTTTAGAGGATCAAGCTGGCTTTGTATGCTCTGCCTCACTGTGTGCATTAACAGCTTCCAAGGCGTCAGTGCTCTGCCTTTATTGAAGTGCAATTAGTAAAGCCTTCATTCCCAGCTCTGCTCTCTTTTGCATGAGCACACATCTCTACAGGCTTCACATCCCTTAAAGCCTTCTCATCCCACTGTTTTTATCTCCCTGCTTTCAT